TCTAAAGGGTCAAATAGGGGTGCTCCTAGGGAGGCCTGGGGTCAAGGGTCTAAAGGGTCAAATAGGGGTGCTCCTAAGGAGGCCTGAGGTCAAGGGTCTAAAGGGTCAACTAGGGGTGCTCCTAGGGAGGTCTGGGGTCAAGGGTCTAGACTCTAAAGGGTCAAATAGGGGTGCTCCTAGGGAGGCCTGGGGTCAAGGGTCTAAAGGGTCAAANCTCCTAGGGAGGTCTGGGGTCAAGGGTCTAGACTCTAAAGGGTCAAATAGGGGTGCTCCTAGGGAGGCCTGGGGTCAAGGGTCTAAAGGGTCAAACAGGGGTGCTCCTAGGGCCTTAGAAGCAGGGTTGGCCAGTAAAGGCGATATAACTTGAGGCTCGCCAGAGTTATATTTAGTTATAGGCGGCCGAAGGCCGAAACCAGTCATAATGTCTGCTTTCAACCAGGCCTTAATCTGATTCCTCATCACAGGATATGTGTCTAGCTTTTCCAAGAGGCACGAAATAGGGGTGCTCCTAGGGAGGCCTGGGGTCAAGGGTCTAAAGGGTCAAATAGGGGTGCTCCTAGGGCCTTCGAAGTCAACGTAGAGCCCTAGGAAAACCAACAGTCAGGCCCAAGCCGGGCTCAGAAGTCGAGAGTCAAAAATTTCTCAGGAGTCAACTACCGCCATGATAACAGACGATCAAAAGGCTGAGCTGGAGTTGGTAGAAGCTTCCAAGGCCTGCTGAGTCCAGGTGAACAGTGTGCGGCGAAATCTTGGCCGTTCAGATATGAAAACCGTAGCCGACCGAGGAGGTAACCTGAGGCAGGCCAGGCCAGGCCAGGCCGAGTCAGCACGGCTACAAAATCTGTGCCTGCTGGAGGCTGGCGTGCTGCTGCTCGATTGCCAGCACTGTGTGAGGCTGCCATAGCTAGACCAGGAGAGAGAGTGGTAGGCATTTAAGAGAAGGCGCTGCTGACGCACCATAGATGCGAGCAAGAGAAGAAGGGAGATATGGTGTAGCGTCCAGGGCTTGGGAAAAGAGGAAGCTTACCTGGAAAGTGCTTACCTGGGGAGTGTTCAGCCCTTAGACTAGATGCCGCAGATAAGACCAGCGGTTGCATCTATCAGCGTTCTTCATCAAAGACTCAGTCAACATTTGTCATCAAAGACTCAGAGATGGTGCTGTGGTTTGGAGCTTGTCTGGTCGTCCGCGCACAGGAGGTGCAGAGGAGGGTCTGGGGTGGAGACTGGAAGGAGGAGGTAACTGTTCTATGAGGGTTGGCAAGACGAAGGTGTGCAGAGGCGGTAACCTGTTGGCTGGCAGCCATAGCTGCCTGAAGGAGAAGGCTCCCAGAGGACGAGGGAGATGGCCATTCATCTCCGAAGTTAACATATTTACGTCTCCAAGATTAACATTTTCTTTTTTTTGTTTTCTATTCTTTCAAGACATACATATAAAAAATAAAGAAACCTCCGCCGAGTATCAAATAATGAATGCATCGGTGCGGACAAGCAGCAGGAAAGGAAGTCTAAGACCGTAAAAGCCTCAACGATTGCACGCCAGACATCCCGTCTTCGTGCTGTTGGTGCTGTGCTATTAGAGAGAGAGGGTGTGGCAGTTGTGTTTGTGGGGTTAAGGGAGGAAAGTGAAAGTCATGTCCTCTGGGACATTCATAAAAAATGGAATGATGCGGAGAAGATTAGCATGGCCCCTGCGCAAGAATGACACGCAGATATCGAGAAAAAAAAGGGTCCAAATTTAGAAAGAAAGGAGAGCGAAAATCGCCATAGCTTCAGGGAGGCATTGTGGTCGTCGTAATTGATGAATGCGATTCGATGGCGCCTGGCACGATTGCCATCGTCATTTGGAGTCCTCTCGTCAGTGCACTACTACCCTGGGATAGACCAGGTGCGGTACACATGGTGCCTTGGCAGTTGACATTGTGTCGGATTGGCGGCGATGATATGGGGAGAAGGAATCCTGCGGAAGAAGCGGGAGAAGCAATCTGAACGTTATATTCATTGTTTATATGATTGAGATATTTCTATGTTTTCGCTCTTTGTCTCCACACTGTCTTGTTGCTCATTGCTTTCTCAATTTGTTTTTATCATTGATTCGAGCCTTGTGAATTCATGCGAGAAACAGTGAGATTTGATAGCGAGTTTCCGAAGTTCAGTTTGAGTGAGTTTCCAAAGTTCACTTTGTGATGCGGCGTGGTCCCCGTCATCTTCCCTTCAGAATGTTTGTGAATGCGTTGCGAGATTTGATCATGAGTTTCTGAGATTTGATTGTGAGTTTCTGAGGTTTGATTGCGAGTTTCTGAGATTTGATCGTGAGTGTTTTTTTTTTTTTTCCTGGGGTTTGACCATGGGTTCATCACAATCAGTACCGCTGCATGTTCCTTGTCATCGTGCCTTCAGGAAAAAATGAATTGGTGATGCTGATGTGGCAGGAGAAGTCCCGAAAAGTCTAAGCTGGTGACAGTAAAAGTGTCGTTTGTGTGTTAGCAGGTGGTTGGGTACGACTTCTGTGGCTCATGCGGCTTGTCTTGGTCTCCTGTGGTCTCGTCTGGAAAGAAAGCGTCTGAATAGTCACGCTGGGCGTGGTTATTAGGATTTGTTACTGCATGGGCCAGCGGCCTAGCTCGGTTGGTAGAGCACGTAAGTGGCATTCGGGAGGTCCTGTGTTCGATTCCCGCGTCGTTCATTCCATCCCCCACGGGTCCCTGTGGCAGCATGCTTCAGGCTCACCAACTGAGATAGTTGGCTTGCCCTTGGCTGGGAGGTGTCTTGAATCCGC